TTACAATAATGCACTTGACTTTGGAGTCAACCAATCCTCCATTCAGCGTCTCCAGTTGGTCCTGAATGCTGCTGCTTGCCTCTTGACGGGTATTCGTAAGAGGGAGCACACCACTTCTACTGTGGCATCCCTTCACACTTGCTCCCGCTCGCCTCTTGACAGGTACTCGTAAGAGGGAGCACACCACTCCTACTCTGGCATCCCTTCACACTTGCTCCCTATCCATTTTAGAGTTCTTTTTAAGATCCTTTTATCTGTTTTCAAATTTTGAAATGGCATCGCCCTACCTTACCTCTCTGAGCTCCTGCGGACCAGACGTTTTTAGAGGTACCGAGAACTAAGCGGAGGCTCAGAGGGGACCGATTCTTTTTTTGGAATGACCTCCCACTGAACTTGCTGCCCATCTTTAAAACTCGTCTCAAAACTCATTTCTATTCTTTGGCTTTTGACTCGGCATGACTCAGACTTGATTTTTAGTTGTACTGTTTTTGTGCTTTCTACTGTGTTCGTTATTAATTGATTGATTTATTGTTTATTGTATACATGATATTTTCTCCATGTACAGCAGTTTGTATACAGTGGTGGTTGTTTTAAAGCGCTCTGTAAATAGAATTGAGTTAAGAGTTGAGTTGAGTTTCAGGTTTCATCCAGTTCTGACTTTCGGCCTTTTGTTGTTGTCGTCTTGACAGAATGTGTCGATTCAAAACTTGAACTGCGAGGCAAACCACACCATGTTAAACGTTCTGTGTTCACTGCAGACCGGTGTGAGACGCAAACTCCAGATGCTTCCGGGGAAAATGATCAACTCCGTCTACAGTGATGAGGAAAGGGGAAGCCAAGACAAAGAAAGCAAGGAGGAGACCATCTTGGCCATGTTGGGCATCATCGGGACCGTTCTTAACTTGCTGGTCATCATCTTTGTATACATCTACACTACGCTGTAGAGCCCTTCGAACATATACAGCAGCCATGGCCGCCCAGGCGGAGACGACCAGCCGGCGGATGAATGTCAAGAAGGGGATCAAAGCGGAATCCCAGACTGGATGTGCAAATATTCGGAATATTGGGTTGAACGTACGGAACGGACAAGGCCTTTAGTGACTTGAAAAGGCTTTAAAGTGCAGCTTCCCCTCCTCGGATGGATCACAAAGGATCGCCATGACTTTTGGGAAAAAACAAAACAAAACATTTTATACCACGATATATTCTTATCTTCAAGATGTGTTTCGGGTTTTGTTGTGCGGAATGAACAATGCGAAAGAAACACAGACTTTTGCCTCGAGGAGTTTCTCAAGAAAACACAAAAGTTGCGTCATTTTGAAGATATTTGTGCAACGAGAGCTGTTGAATTTCAATTTATTTGGAGTTTCCTTCAACTGTTTTTCAGGAAAAACTTAACTGTGGCTGCTGTGTGTGTGTGTATATATGTGTGTATATATGTGTGTGTGTGTGTGTGTGTGTGTGTGTGTGTGTATATATATATTTATATA